GCCAAGGAGAACGCCGCCGACGGCGACGCGGTCACGGTGGTGTGAGCCCCTTCCTCACCCGGGTGCCCGCCTGTCCCAACACTCCTTTGATCCAGCGACCCTCAGATAACGCGTCCACTAGTCGCCATCAGCTTTGACGCGGCGGCTTGCTATGAGGAAAATGAGTTGAATGTTGCGCCTGCGTTTGTCTTGTTGAAGGACGACCGCCAACGCTGATGTGGCGCGGGGGCATCCGTTGCTAGACCCTCGGCTGTCATTCAGCGAGCTGACGGCCCACTGCCCCCGCCAGCCGCCTGGTTTGCTGAACGCACACAGCGGCCAACCCTGCCCCTGCCGCTTGGGTTGCCGCGTGGTGCGGGCGCAAGATACTCGAGTCGGTTGTCACACCAACGCCAGGGACGACGTCAGCGCGTGCTTTGCCACACTCCGCCTTAAGTTTGACCGCACATTGACCAGCAAAGCTCACAACAACACCTTGATGGACTGCAGGCCTGTGCAACGCTTGACGGCTTTGGACGTTCGACCGCACTGGGTTGACTAGGGATCACTTCCCTGCAAGATTCGGCTTACTGCCGTGTTCATGCTCAAAGCATTGCACGCAACTATCAAGCAGAGCGCACGGCAAGCCCGCTGCTTCTACATGCACTGCTGATTGCCGCGGCTCACAGCGGCGTCCCCTGGCTGGGGACGGCTGCTAGGCAGACATGGGCGGGCCCTTTTGGGAGCCCATGCAGGCGATGCACACCTGTGCGTTGCAGTTGCCTGTTTTGTGTAGCACTGGGGCCGCATCGCCACCTCTGTGGGTAGATGCGGTGCCCATCCCTGGACACGAGCATCGGGCATGAGCACCTGGCATCAGCACTGGCATGAACTCGTCAGGCTGGAGCCCGCTTCGGCACCGGGCGGCCACGGCTAGCTGTAAAAGAGCACACCAGGTTGTATGGGCGATGCAGAGCCAGGAGTCCTGCCCCTTGTGCAGACGGGGGGGCGGGGCGGCTGCATGTGAGTCGCAGGAACCGGCGGTAGGGCTCTGCAGCCTGTCGTGCAGCCGCTGTGTGAGGTGCAGGCCAATGTGATAACATGGGTTTGTGCGCGTGCAAGTGCGTGCGTGCGTGCGCACCTGATGTGCGCAGGGGCAGCACCGACAGCTGTGCAGGTTGCAGAACCGTCATTGCACCCTGCGGACATGCAGAGGCGACATCACATGCAAAACTAGGCTATTATAAGAAACAACACATGCGCAGGCTGGAAGCCTTTCCTAATTCAGCAGCCCGCGCCCACGATTTTGGGCCGCCAGGCAGCCTTCCCTTGGGACCTGGCGTGATTGGTTGCTGCCTGGGGGGCGGCCAGGTGTGCGCGCGGCGGAGGCGGCGTCCGACGCTGCCGATGTCCTGGCTGCAGGCGCTCATCTAGCGGCCCTGCATTGAGCAGCCTGTCTCAAGGATGCTCTGCCTCCTGCACGGAACGCCTATGCCCAGCTGGCTCAACCAAATGGGAGTTCTGCTCTACAAACTTGAGGTGTGCAGGGGCCGGGGAGGCGGTACACGCACCTGGGCAGCCCGGCAAATGAGCGCTTCTGCCAACGTAAGCGCCCTAGGGACGCCACTGTGCGTTCTGGTCACACGATTCTGACTGTTTGATCAATTGCAGGTCCTGGTCCTGGTGGAGACGGCAGACTTCTGACAGCTTCCAACTGCGCCGCCGCCGTCGCATCGGCGCCCCGGCCAGCCGACGGCCAGTCGGCGGCGCGAAATGGCCGCAAGAAGGGAAAGACGGGGCGACGCCGTGCGGCGCGGCGCGGCGGCGCCTGGCGGGGCCCGCTCTCAGAGGCGGAGGCGGCGGCAGTGCCGGCAGCTGCTGACGTGCTCAATGTGCCGAAGCTCGAGCTTGAGTCAGGCGGACGCACTCCCACACAATTTCGAGCTGCGCTCGCTGCTGCCGCCCTGGCCGCTGCTCGGCGCGCTCGCCGTCACGTGCGTGCCGAGGCTGCTCCTGGAAACTTTTACGTCTGAGGGCGACAACATGGCGGGCGTGCTCGCCCTCGCCGCGGTTGCACTGCAGCTAGCTGCTGCCAGTAGTGGCGGCGCGCGCCACGCGGTACGGTCGCGCTAGGGGCAGCAGGGGCCGCTGCGGGCGCGGTGCCGCTGAGTGCGCCGGCGTTGTGGCGGGGCCGTATGGGCAGCCACATAATGATCGAGGTCACTAGATGCTGGCAACAAACGTGATTTGGTTGCCTCGCTTTGTAAACGCTCGATTATCAGCAGCCGGCGCAGCTTGAAGGTTGCGCACACGTGGATGTGACCACCGCACGTCGCTGCTGTTGGCGTGCTTGCATGTGCAGCCGTCCACATTGCGCACACTCTCTGGGCACTGCTTGTTGATGGGAGAGTATGCAAAATGTAACGGGAGGATTTGTTCAAGGGTTGTGGTGCCTACCAGGACGGTGACAGGGATGGGGGTGAGGTCGGCAAGCTCACCCAGGCCAAGCATCAAGGATGTAGAAGATACGCAGAGACGATAAGGTGCCTGCAGTACACACGTACACTGTACGTGTGATTGTGTTTGTTCATGCAACGCCATCAACTTGAAAGCAGCCTCGGTCCCATCGAATTCCACGAGTTTGCACTCCTGCTCGCTCGAGAGTACGCTACGCGTTCGCTCAACTGTCAGATGCTCGATTTGTTTATCTCAAACAAATCGTTCAAAGGAGAGTCAACAGCGTCTTGCGGGTGCACTCAGCACGGTGTTCTTAGCATGACGCCCTGAGAGGAGTGATGGCAGCAGGAAACATGGCACAGGATGCCATGTTCGTGGGCTTGGCAGTCGCCCAGGTGAGGGGAGCGTGGCTTATGGTTGCGGTTTTTGCTGGGGACCGAGCCCGAGCTTGTGCGCGCGCAGCCGCTCATGCCGCGTGTATAAGGTGACACATGTGACTTATTATCCAAGTGGTCTATTCTACAGGGCGCCCTGAGCCTCGTGCAAGGACAAGAAGCGGCAGCGGATCTGCTTCGGCAGGCATACGGATTGGCCGGAGCTGCCGTTGGCATTTGGGAAGCTTTGTACGAGTCATTGAAGCAGTCATGCAGCGCAGAAGGGGTGGCGGTGGCGATCAGGTGCGTTGACCGCGCTTGCGCGCCTGCTGCGCCGGGCATGCTTCAGCCGCGGGCACCCGATCTGCGGCCCTGCATTGGCACACGCATGCACTCTAGGGCTGATGCTGGCCTGTAACCCTGTGCTGACGGTGACATGCGCCCCCGCTCACACATCGCAGCAGTGCACATGCCTCAATTGAGCAGCAGCAAGCGCCTGCAGAGGAGCAGCACGCCCATGCGGAAGCAGCGCATGAGGGCGGCGAGACGTTGCAAACGCCCATGGCGGCGCATGCATGGGATGGTGGCGGCGCGCCAATCGAAGACGAGGAGAAAGGGACGGGCATGGAGTCTGAGGTGGCGCCCCTGACGACAGGTGTGTGCACTGCTGATCGCGCGGATCTTACATCACGCCGTTGCTCTGCCCCATGAAGCGCCCATGGGCTGGCAAGCACACCGCCCATGCGCAGCAAAATATGCCGCTGAACGCCAATTGGCGACACCTGCCTTTCAATCGCACCCACTCACAGACATATCTGCTGCTTCTCTCCAAAACAGGGGCCCTGGACGATCGGGCGGGTCAGGCGCCTCTTGAGCTGCTAGACCAAGCCAACACCAACACCGAGAGCGTCTCCCCCCGGTGCGTGGGTGACAACCCCAGCAGTCCTGCAGCCCTCCTAATAGCTGAGCATGCGATGCACTCCTCTCCAGCCGCTGCCCCCCCCCCCTACCTTGCGCAAGTGCAGCCCTGCTGCATCGCCCTTCTTGGTGGTTCGTTGTTGGGGGGGGGGGCAAGGTGGGGTGCAGGTCTGAGGCCGCTGCATGCCGCTTTCTGTCGGCAAGTTGTCCCAAAAACCATTCACTGCTCCAGTCTTCCTCACCAATATCTATCTCTGGCGCCAACCACGACCAACTGCAGGGCGGGCTCGCGCAGCACGAAGTACCCTGGGTGGGACACCTGCCGGGAGGTCGTGATCAAGGGGGAGCCCGTCAAGTTATACATCTCCAGCGACCGCGACATCCCCCGGGTGTTTGTTGACCACCCCTGGTGAGGCCCAAAACACCGCCGGCGGGGCTCCCGCGCGCTGCTTGTCCGCCGTCAAGCAGAGGGCCGGACCCAGCTCGAGCGTCGCTTCGCTGGCCCCTCGCGCCTGGCGCCTTCGCGGAGGCTTCTTCGCGACCTGCCAATTCTGGCGATTGGCCGCCCACCCTGACCCGCGAAGCGCCTCCTCCATCCCCCTCGCAAAAAATGCTCCGCGCAGGTTCGCGGCAAGGGCGTGGGGGATCGGCGCCGGCTGCTCGGAGGACTACCCCGAAGACGAGCTGTCTTTCTGCAGGGCTGTCGGCCTGGCCGCGTTCAACCAGCCCTTTGGCCACCGCTACAGCGGCGTTGTGGAGCTTTGTGATGGGCCTCAAGCCACACAGTCCTGGAGCTACATACTTGACGAGGTGCGCGCGGGGCTGAGGCGGATTAGGGCGGGGCACGAAGACGCGTGCGATGCGCGCGGCTGCGCTGGCCCTGCCAGCTGCATCCGGCCGCGTCCGATCGCAGCCCTCCGCCAACAAGCACCGTACGTCTACTCATCAACACCGCTGATTACCTGAGGTCCGTCGACCCAGTCTCTTCCGATCCCTTTTTGAGCGCCCTGTGCCGCTGCCCCTCACGCACTCCTGCAGGAGTTGGCCTATCGTTCCGCCGAGGCCGGCTCCTTCGCCTCTCCCAGGGGGATGCCGCACCCCCCCTGGAGGGACCCAGGGGCCATTGACCCCGAGTGCTGCATCCTGCCCAAGGCCGGCCCGTGCTGTACCTCCGACGTGAGACCGGGATGGGGTGTTTTGGGACGTGCTCAGTTGAGGCGGCGGGCAGGGCCGGCCTCAAGATTGCGCGGCCGGCAGAGGTTTGGCCATGACAGATGCAGGGCAAACGCCGGTGGCGTCATCCCGCACACGCCAACCCAATTTGCTGAGCGTTTGCCCCAGAGGCCGCTTGCGTCTGGCCAATCAGGTCATCCACAGCAGCAGCCCGCCGCACACTGCAGCGATACCAACCATTCAGCACGCATCCCGCCTGTTCACCTCCCAAATGCCCGTCCCACTTCCTCCCGCCTGCCCTCATTTGAATCGATCCGCGTCCCATCCCACGCCCTTGAAGATCCTGGAGCGCAATTTGGAGGCGCGTGACGCCGAGGTGACCTCTGCTGTGGGCGGCCAGGGCGACCGCAGCAGGCCCTGCTCGCCCGCAAAGAGCATGCTCAAGAGTGACCAGGTGTGGCTCTCGCTTGATTGCCCTTTACAAGCTGCCCCGGCACACCGCATGTGATGGGCAAGGGGAGGGCGTGGACCTGGCAGGGTGGCAGAAGGGTGGGGCCCTGCAGTGATGTCACAGCCATCTAGAGGCCGGCAGGCGGCCTTTTCCTGCTTGCAGGCAGACACGCTTGAGTGCACTTTGCACCCCCCCCCCCCACGCATCGCGCCCACACTGTACGAGCTGCTGTGTGACAGCCCGTGGGGGCCAGGTCCAGCGGAAAGCTCACCCGCCCAAGCGACTCTCCCCCCGCCAAACCACCCCTCTAACACCCTCACCGACCCCACCCCACCCCCAAACCCCATACGCACCTCATCTTTCCACTAGGTGCGCCCGGCCAGCCCCGCCCGCCAGGGCCCCCTGGAGATCAGCTCCGCTGAGCAGGATGCCAGCGTGAAGCTCAGCGCCGACGACATCCCCACCTGCCAGGTGCGCGGTTTGCGGGGGCCGGGACTGGGGCATATCCTGCTGTGACAGGGTGATGCATGAGTGCTCACTCGAGGCGGCGTGCAAGGCCAGCCATACGAGTGCGCGGCAGGAGGTTGGACTTGACGGAAGCGATTGCAACAAATTGTGGTGTCGATCTGTGCGCGTCCACCCAGTTGCGCAGCACTTGTCTGCCTCTGGCCAAGCAATCCACAGCACCAACCTGCCCCTCACTGCTGCATATACCTGATGCAGCATGCATCCCGCCGGTTGACCTCCCAAACGTCCCTCCCTGCCCACCCACTTCCTTCACCCTGGCCCCCCACACATTGGCCCCCTTCCCATCCCACGCCCTGAAGATCCTGGAGCGCGAGTTGGAGGCGCGTGACGCCGACGTGACCTCTGCTGTTGGCAGCCAGGGCGACCGCAGCAGGCCCAGCTCGCCCATAAAGGGCTTGCTCACAGACAAGGTGTGTGGCTCCCGCTTTGATTGCGCTTTCTTAGCTGCCTGGGCACGACGCATGGGATGGGCAAGCGGAGGGCGCAGACCTGGCTGGGTGAATTGAGGGCGGGGGCCCATGGTGGTGTCACAGCCATCCACAGGCCGGCAGGCGGCCTCTTCCTAATTGCAGGAAGACACGCTTGCCGAGGGCGCAAGCATATTGCACCCCCCCGCAGTGCGCCCATACAAGCTGCTGTGTCACAGCCCGTGGGGGTCAGGTCAAGCGGAATGCTCACCTGCCCAAGCGACTATCCCCCCGCCCCCCCCCCCACACACACACACACAACCTCATCATTCTACTAGGTGCGCCTGGCCAGCCCCGCACGCCACAGCCCCCTGGAGACCAGCTCCGCTGAGCAGGATGCCAGCGTGAAGCTCAGCGCCGACGACATCCCCACCTGCGAGGTGCGTGGTTTGCGGTGGGCGGGGCTGCTGCAGAATCTGAGATGGGTGCTGCGTGAGTGCGCATTGTCGTCAAACACCAATGGACTACATATACCCAAGGGCAGCCCGCCGCGCTGTGCCACCAACGCTTGTTCGCGCACGCCTTGCTTGGCGCGGGCGCCAGCCGCTGAATGACTTGTCAACCACCCGCGGGCCCGCGCGCGATCAGCCCGGAGGCATCACCCCGTCCCACTGCAAACACCGCAGGTGGTGGTCGCAGGTGACGCCGCTGGCGCAAGGCTCATCGAGCTCGGCGGGGCGCGCAGCGACGACGTCACCGCGGCCGCAGACGAGGGGCGCGCGTTTGAGGTGGGCGCACGCACGTGCTGCGCCTGTGTCGCTGTTTTGGCAGAGAACAAAGGGCAGATTCTGGTGCTGGGGCTGTCAAGCCTGTGCGGAGTTGCAGGGCGGCGCGCGTTGCATGGGCTCTTGCCCCTTTTTGATGATCCCTGATGTTGTTGACGAGCGGCAGGACCATGGCTGGTGCCAGGAGTGATTGATATATGTCTCGCCCTCAAACTCACCGCACTGCGCGCTGCCGACGCCGTCACCCCCTCCACGCCCCAGGCCACAGCGGCGGCGAGCGCTATGCTGCAGCTGGAGCCGTCTGGGGTGGAGGGCGCTACCGCCAACAGCCACGGATTCCTCGTGAATGCCATGGGTGAGTGGCGGCCGGGGGGGTGAGGCGCGTTCGTTCCAAGGCTGGCCTTATTGGGTGTGGTGCTGGGCATTGCATCAGCCTGGTCGACCAAGGGGCGGGGTGGCCACTACCTGGGCGGTTCGCGGGCACGCACGCCACATCCTTGACTACATTACATGGGAGCCCGACGCGGTAAAGCACAGACACCCAATAACCCCACCTCACCCAACCCGTCCTCGAACCCTGCACACATGCACGCGTCCACCTCAGGCCGTGGGGCGCAGCAGGCGGCCGCCCGGGCGCGTGCCAATACAAGAGGCAGCGCTCCAAGAGGCCGGGCTTCAAAGAGTACCAGCAGGCGAAAATGGCCAAGTACAGGCAGCAGCAGCAGTGGCAGCAGCAGCAGCAGTGGCAGCAGCAGCAGCAGCAGTGGCAACAGCAGCGGTCGCAGCAGCAGCAGCTCCACCACCACCACCACCACCACCACCACCACCACCACCACCAGCAGCAGCAGCAGCAGCCGCTGCAGCAGCAGCAGCAGCAGCAGCAGCAGCACCAGCACCAGCAGCAGTTCCAGCACTCAGCATGGGCCTTCAACCATTGGGCCCCCGCCCACCAGGGGCAGCAGTTCTGCGGCGTGCCACAGGGGCCGCAGCATATCCCCGCAGCTTACGGCACCGACCGCAACCAGCCGCAGCCTATGCCGCAGCAGAGGCCGCCGAGGCAGCAACACCCGTGGCCGGCCGGGCCGGGGCGGGGCTTTGGCGCAGCGCTTGCGGCGGTGCTGCCTCCGGGGC